TGCAGTTGGCAGCTGGAGGAAAGTGAAGAAAGGAAGGATGGGGAGCGGGAAGGCGGAAAAAATCTATCCGTCATATTATGATTATGGCGACGCCCTTTACTTCATGAAACTCCTTTTGTTGCATACGCGTAAGCTCCACGAAGTGTTGGTGTCACAGGTGGACGGGACACATAGCGCAGACATAACGGTTACGGAGGAAGCAAGGTCCCGGCGGTTGACGGGGGACTAATCATGTAACTTATTTTAAAAGACGTAGTCACAAGGCAGCAAAAATTCTGGGATTCACTAGGACTTTCCTTCAATTCGTCATGACCAGAGCCCCTAGGATGGTTGATACATCGACGTACGAGACAACAGTGCAGTGAGCGCGGTTTATTACTAGCGTTCGCGTGCTTTTCAAGGAGAGACTGTCCTGCCACTTTTGAAGCCTTCGATGCGGCATAAATATCGAATGAAAGGGTAAAAAAAAGATACAAATACACGTAATAAATTTAACCCACATGAACGTATGAATGAACCAGGGTTGTTATCACTTTAGGTACTATTTCAAGAGCCCAAAAAATTGTCACGGATCTCGATAAACAAGAATGCTGTCGGTTTCACCTGCTACGAGCTTCAAGAAAGGTGGAAGAAGCGACAATAGAAAGATTAAATTTAGGAGCATGGAACGTCGGTGGGGCATTTTGCAAGAAATGAAGTTCTCTAAGAAGGAATCGCTTAGCTCAGAACGTTCGAGCTCAAGACGCTCGAAGAAATTTTCGACGGGGACGATTCTATTTGTTACAAGGGTAACCGTGGAGGTCGGTAACGAGTACGTCAGTGGCACAATGGTGCAGGGAGGGGAGAGTGTAATGTATTGAAAAACAAGGTCATAAGATGTGTTCTCTGTAATACTTTGGTTTCTTACACATATCATCATCACGTAATACATTTCAAATGATTCTTCATATTCTTGTGGAGGTGCAATGCATTTCCCACACCGGAACGAAACCTAACGATAACGACTGCTCTTCTCATCATTTACGTTGTACTTAAAGTGCAATGAGATGCTGTGAAAGTTGCTGACGTATAAGGCAATGATGGAGAAGGACCACTTTTTGGAGGGGGCGAAAAATCGTTTTCGGCACTAGGCGATTTCCTCAGTTATGGAAGCCTGGGAAGGTGCTAACTCTATTAGTTGTATTATAACCAAGATTAGTCCCCCGTCAACCGCCGGGACCTTCCTTTCCTGCGCAAGCTTTCTATCCTCCGCTATGGTCCCTTCCTCCTGTGACACCAACACCTCGTGGAAGTGACGCGTATGCAACACAATGGTGTTTCAAACAGTAGAAGGGACACAATCATGATATGACGGTAGATTTTTCGCTTCCCTTCCTCATCCTCCCTTCCTCTCTCCACTGCCCTCCAGCTGCCACTGCAGCACCATGTGGAATGAACGGAAGTGTGCTAAGCAGGTGTTTATATAGCCCTAAGAGTGTTATCACAACTATCCTGCTACAAAACATTGATATCTCAAATCCTGTAAGCTACCCGATTTGTTAGCGGTTTGTTTATCCCATGAGCTTCCTTCTCACTCACTTCATTTTGCGGACGGACACACATACATACATACAGATACACAAACCGACACACAAAGTTAGCGCTTTATAAAATAGAAGGATTATAGTCATCCCTTTATAATCACTGGTTTGATCGCTCCTCGCGTGTTCACAGTGGTTTAGAGTGATAGTATGTGCGTGTGGAGGGATGCAAAACTTTCGCCATGAAGATTGTTGTTGTGTTTTGTGTTTCGAGTGTGCTGGGACGTCAGAGTGGCAGGGTTCGGAGAGAGTAGAGGTGTGTGTGTTCCCTTCCACCTGTGCCACCAAAACCTTTTATAGGTTACGCGTATGCACAAAAAATGTTTCGTATTGCAAAGGACATCATGGAAATTATTAAATGAGAGGCGAAATAGGCGGAGCCGTCTGGAGCAAATTTATGGCTAAAATTGGATAAGAAAAACGTAAGGAAAATTTTGGGGATACTTTTGTATGAAGTACAATAATTGCGGTGGATGTTATGCTATACGAAGTTATTACGCCCTAGCCCCGCTACTTCAAAGTGGTGGGATGGTGTAAACTCACTCGATAAAAAGATCACTCGTTGTGGCCGGAGCAACGACGTGTAGAGTGAGGCTAAAAAGGACAGATCCACTTCCGGCAGTGGATTACCGCCAGTTTTGGCTAGGCGGTGGGGGATGTCCAGGCCACCAGCATCTATGAGTCAAGTTCTGAAGAGGAGTACCCTCAGTCCCGTGCGGCCACCGTCCTTCATGGCAGAGAGGACAACGGCAGAGGGGGAGAAATCTCACTTTTTGAAATTGCTACCATCAACACTGGGTTTGTCAGTGATGCTCCCGACGAGACCAGTTGATCTCGAGTGACAGCATTGGCATGTGTTACAAGAAGGATGAGTATGCAGCAGAGTCATGGAAAATGGACACACAGGTCACTCGAAATTATATTAGGAAGCCAAACCACTGAGCGGTAAAAGTCGGTGGAGTTGGATTCATCATAGCACCACATTTAACAAAGATGATCAGCGACTGCAAAAACTTTTCCGAACGGATTGCGATGCTTGTAGTCGAATTGGGCGGAGGAAAAACAATGAAGATACTGTCAGTATACGCACCAACAGGAGGCCTATGATAACAACGCGGTGAAAGAATTCTAGATGGTTACGCGTTTGATTGAACTAACTAATAAGCTCGAGAGTAGTATTTCGTGATGTCGATCAGCTTGAGCATCTCTGACAGACGCACTCTTGGAGCGTGTTCATATGTGGGATAAAGTCGGCATCTGAAGAAAAAGTTGTTGTGGATTTAAGTTTACCGTTGGGATCAGGAGAATACCAGGGATGAGGGTTAATGATAGAGGGATAATGCAGCATATTCTTTAGATATACAGTGGATAAGTGCAGGTACTTTCAAGAAAAAAGGTATTTAAATATCGTAATGCTGCCAGCAAGAAATACGTAGTCGCATTTCAACTTCAGCCCTCCAATGTATAGAAGGGCGTCTGTAGAATATGGGGGCACTATTGCGCCTCAAAAAGTTTCATCAGGAGAGGAGAGAAGGGGAGCCGCGTGAAAGGCGCTTTTTCATAGCGCGGCTAATTGTCGAACGGATTACAAACAAGTAGAAAACCCAATTTAAGGATGAGAAGTCGATGGTGCTAGGAATCGTAACGAGGAGGAAGGAACAAAAGTTTCCTTCTGTGTACCATTCATATCTGACGAACTTAGTGCGGCCATTCGTTCCTGTTTAAGAAAGGCAGGTCTTCAGGACATGGTGAGAGTTGTAGACATCCCGCCTGCAAACCTCAAAGAACGATTGGTGCGAAATCGCATGTATGATCGCCTGTGTATAACCCCCTCCTGCGTAATATGTCCATTTGGAAAGGAGGGGGATTGCATGACATCCGGTGTTGTGTACTTAATTTCATGTCTTCAGTGCAAGGAGGAGTATATTGGGGAAACAGGCAGACCTCTTTGCATTCGTATAAAGGAGCACCTTGATGGCATGCAAAAGTCCAAAGTAGCTACTCCACTAGGAGAGCATAGGGTACGGTACCATGGGGACACGTGTATTGAGGTGGCGGTCACGATATTGTCACGTGAATCGGATATTAGAACATTGGAAGCTTTCTGGATCAATGCCAGGAATCCTAAAATCAATAGGAGGGAAGAATGTGTTGCGGTCACTACGGAGCTGGCGCCCTTTGCAGCGTTGTGTGGCTTTGATCTGCGTGATCGATCCCCCGCGGGGTCTGCTCGAGGGGGCGGGGTCGGGGGCTTACACAGTAACCGATAGGAAAGGTTGTTGACAGGGGTCAGCGGCGCGCCTAGCCTCTAGCAGCCTTTTGGGGTGTCTTGATCTCCATGATCAACCCTCAGGAGGGTCCTTAAGCAAGTGACCTTGGGGCTTCACCTATTTAAGCCGCATTACTGTCAGCTCGGGGTGGCAGGTGGACCTCATTGGTCGACTTTTCTAAAGGTTAGTTGTCTTTTTCTGTCCCACGACGTCGCCCTAGTAGTTTACCCCTGCTGAGCGATTCTTGTAGGTTGAAATAGTATTTGGACGGGTAGTTTCGTAAATGGCTTTCCTCTTTCCAGGCTCTGAAGAAGGCGAAAGCGCCGAAACGTAAGCCAAATAAAAGTTGTTATCAATCTTGGTTGGAGCTTATTCACTATACTGACGAATGCAAGCATAGTTCCGCGAAAGATGTCGACTATCGGTAGCTAACTCATACTTCCAAAAACGTTCTGGTCGTAGATGGACGTACCACACTCCAAACCGGCAAATGTTTCACGAAATCGACTTCTTCCTGACGAACTGCTTGCGACTTTTCCATAATGTCGGAGTCATCGGAGAATCACACTTCAACATTGGGTCAGATCATCGCTTAGTTCGAGCAACACTAGTGCTGAAGTTGAAAGAAGAGCGGAGGCGTTTAGCTGCATATCATTCCAGACGATATCGATATGAGCTCTCTGATGAAACACTGAAAACGCTCGCTCCCACTGTTGACTTTTCCGGAGGAACAGGAAATGTACATACCAGATACGAAAAAGTAATAGAATGAGGCTAAAAACGGCCTTCTTAGGACAGGTCC